AAAGCGATCCAACCCCCAAATCTAGAGTGAGTTAGCAAGTGGTAACCAAGACGATTTTGTGCTCCTGACTTGCCGATTCGTTATTCCCTTTGTGGTTGAGGATTTCCCGATCATTTTGACTCTATTGTAAGCATATTGAGTTACCTCCAACCTTGTGAAGTCGCACGGGCAGTCCAGCTGCTGGAGGAGGGGGTATCTGTACGTCAGGTGATCAGAAGGCTCAGAGTGTGTCCCAGTGTCATCCCCCGTGCGTGGAGTCGCTTTCGAGAGACCGGTCAGTACTCCAGGATGCCCGGACGAGGCCGAGTAAGGGCCACCGCCCAACAACAGGACAGATTTCTCCGTATATCTGCGATGCGGTCCAGGGGAAGCACTGCTAGGCCCCTTCAATGAGACTTTCACCGGGCCACTGGAGTACGCATTTCTGACCAGACTATCAGAAACAGACTCCACGAGGATGGCATGAGGGCCAGGCGGCAGTTGCTTGGGCCTGTTCTCACCGCAGGCACCGTGCAGCCCGACTGGCCTTCAGCAGGGACCACCAGAATTGGCAAAGTTCGCCACTGGCGCCTAGTTCTGCTCACGGATGAAATCAGTTTCACTTTAAGTGCATGTGAAAAAACGTGGCCGAGTCTGGAAATGACGTGGAGAGCGATATGCGGCATGCAACATCGTTCAGCATGACTCATTCGGTGGTGGGTCGGTTAAGGTCTGGGGAGGCATTTCTCTGATGGGTCGCACAGGCATTCATGTGCTTAACCAAGGTACCCTGACAGCTGTTAGGTATAGAGATGGAATCCTCAAACCCATTGTTCGACCCTACGCCGGTGAAGGGCGCCTGATTGCTTTTGGTACAGGACAATACCCGACGTCACGTGGCCCCAGAGTGTGCCGCCAGTTTCAGGAGGAAGAGAGCATCAGTGCTGTGGACTGGCCCTCACGTTCTCCGGACCTGAACTCCACTGAGCACCTCTGATTATGTATCGGCGTATTCGACAGCGTCCAGCCGCACCAGAGACTGTCCAGGAGCTTATCAATATGCTAATCTAGGTCTGGCAGATCCCCAGGACATCCTCCGTCGCTTCATCAGGAGCATGCCACAACGTTGCCGAGATTGCATATAGGAGGGCATACCCACAACTAAAGTGGCTGTGCAATGTGCTTTGCTGCAAATTCATCATTTCTTCCATTGTCATTTCTCTCTACAGTCACTTTGTTTTTCAACATTAAGTAATTCGGTTCTCCAAAGGTTAACTTTCGTTCTTCTTGGCCAGTTTGACGCTCTGTTGTTCAGGGTACATTGGGAATTTAGCTTCAGTACAAAATTGTAACGTTTGTACATTTGACATTGATTTTTGAAACGAAATACAAGTGTTCCCCTAACTGTTTTGAGCCGTTTATGTATACACACCTCAGTACATCTAACTTCGGTTTCATATTTTTAAATCAATTTCCATCAAGTGCAGTGGCGTAGATGGGGGGGGGGGAGGGTCAGGGGAGGGGTGGAAAACCCTCCTCTAGAGCTAAACTGCCATTTTGTCGGAAAAATTGCTAATCTCGTCGGAAAATAATCACGAAGAAACGAAAATGCTTATTAAATCTTTGTCGGAAAATCTGTATTTCTCGCACCCTCCCCCACTCCTATTTAAATTTCCTACCAACGATACTGACCAAGTGCATCTATGTAAAACTTATGTAAAACCTCGCTATCATTACTCCAGTAAGAGTAGACAGGTAATGTCTATGGAGTTTATGAGGTCTAGTTGCACACTCCTTTTAGTGGGTCACGTGGCATGGTTGGTTTAGTACAGGCACTCCTGACTCATACCCGGAGTGTTCTATGTTCGAGTCCTGGTCAGAGAGGGTTGTTATATATATATATAATGTATGTATATATATATTTAGTTTATTTCTGGTCACCCTGGTCTTACCTGGAGTGAGTTCGAGTGCTGGCCAAGAAGGGTTTGTTTGTGTGTGCGTGTGTGTATGATTATTATATATTGGTTAGTTTCGTTCTGGTCACTCTGGTCTTATCTGGAGTGACCTAGAGTTATTATTTTTAATGCTATTATTAGTATTATCAATAATATTGCTGTTATTTGTTTTATTATACAGTTAATATTATGATTAGTTTTTTTTTATTGCCATAGATCACCTTTTATTTTTTTTTCAGTTTTTTTCATTTCCTTTTCATTTTTTTTTTTTTTACTCTTGTTCTATGGATTATCTGCTTCTTTATTATATTTAGCTTTTTTTCTTGTCTTTATTATCTTTCTCAATCATTGTATCTATTTTTTTTTCTCTCTTTCATCTTCTCTCTCATCTTTACCTTCCTTTATTTCTTATATTCGAGGATTTCATTGAAAGACTTAATTTTTTAATTTCTTTTTATAGGTTTTATTTAAATAAAAATTAGGATAAAACAAAGAGGGAAAGTTGTCCTTTTTCTCTCTCTTATTTACTCTTTTATTTTCTCACTTTTCCTTCCTCTCTCTCTCTCTCTCTTACTCATTCTCTTTGTTTTCCTTTCGCGCTCTCTCTCCCTCTCTTTCATTCGTGTTTTTTCTCTCTCTCTCTCTTTCATTCGTTCTCTTTCTCCCTCTCTTTCATTCGTTTTCTCTCTCTTTCATTCGTTCATTCTCTCTCTCTTTCATTCGTTCATTCTCTCTCTCTTTCATTCGTTCATTCTCTCTTTCTTTCATTCGTTTTCTCTCTTTCTTTCATTCGTTTTCTCTCTCTCTCTCTTTCATTCGTTTTCTCTCTCTCTCTCTTTCATTCGTTTTCTCTCTCTCTCTCTCTCTCTTTCATTCGTTTTCTCTCTCTCTTTCATTCGTTTTATCTCTCTCTCTCTTTCATTCATTCTCTCTCTCTCTTTCTATCCATCTGTCTGCCTTTCTCTCTCTCATTCGTTGTTTTCTCTCTTTCCATCCAACTGTCTGCCTCTCTCCCTTTCTCTCTCTCTCTCTCTCACTTTCCTTTTTTTTCTCTCACTCTCTCTTTCCTTTCTCTCTCTCTCTCTCTCTCTCTCTCTTTCCTTTCTCTCTCTCTCTCTCACACTTTCTCTCTCTTTCCTTTCTCTCTCTCTCTCTCACACTTTCTCTCTCTTTGGTCTGGATAGGTTTGATTAAATATATGACTTGCAAATACTAAAATCTAAGAAAATCCCTGTACATACATACATACATACATATGTGCACATACATACATATACATGTATATGCACATACATATATACATACATGTATCTCGTCCATACAAAGCACAAATACAAAAAAAAAGGAAGAAAAAAAAAACGCACATACACACGCACACACAAACGTATATACACATATGGCATTGGAACTAATCGTTACTAAATACACTGAACTAAGACCTAAATGCTACTTTGCAATACGGCTTAAAATCGTGCATGGCTTTATACGAAATTGCACACGAGTGCACGCACACACCCACACACACACCCACATGCATACACGCACACAAACGCACACACAATATCCCGGCCCATGTAACACAAGAAAAGACAAAAGATAATATATAATGCATATTGTGTATATGTATAATATGCATATATATATATATATATATATATGTATATATATATATATATATACACATATATATATATGTATATACATATATACACATATTATATATATATATATGTATATACATATATACACATATTATATATATATATATGTATATACATATATATATATATAATATGTATATACATATATACACATATTATATATATATATATATATGTATATACATATATACACATATTATATATATATATATATATGTATATACATATATACACATATTATATATATATATGTATATATATATACATATTATGTATATGTATATGTATATGTATATATACATATACACATATTATATATATATATACACACATTACATACATATATGTATATATATATACACATATTCATACGTATACATACATACATACATATAAAGAAATATATATATATATATATATTATAAATATTATATATATATATTATAAATATTATATATATATTATAAATATTATATATATATATTATAAATATTATATATATATATTATAAATATTATATATATATATTATAAATATTATATATATATATTATAAATATTATATATATATATTATAAATATTATATATATATATTATAAATATTATATATATATATTATAAATATTATATATATATATTATAAATATTATATATATATATTATAAATATTATATATATATATTATAAATATTATATATATATATTATAAATATTATATATATATATTATAAATATTATATATATATATTATAAATATTATATATATATATTATAAATATTATATATATATATAATAAATATTATATATATATATATCATATATATCATATATATTATATATACACATTGTATATATATATATATATATATATATATATATATATATATATATATATATATACACATTATGTATATAACATACATATAAATATGTATATACATTTATATAAAATGTATCCATCTATCTTAATATGTTTGAAAAAAAAAAAAAACAGACAAATTGCCATGTTTCAGTTATAAGGTAATAATAACACTATTACTCAAAACAACAAATGTATAATAATAGTAATTACGAAGAAAAAATTGTCTACTTACTTACTTTACTTGAAAAAAAGAAAAAAAAGTGTGTATATATATATATATATATATATATACGTGAAATAAATTGATAATAATAATAAAGAATCACTAAGTCATTTCTTTTCTCCCTTTTGTTCGTTCTTTTTTCTATTTTGTTCATCAAATTTCTTAACTTTTCTTGCTATTCTTCATTTCTACATTTCTATACGTACATATGTATACATAAATACATACATGTGTTTTTTTTTTTATTTCTAAGTCTGTCTTAAGGCAGGGAAACTGTCTGAAATTTCCCGTTTTCTTTGACTTTTTATATATATATATATATATATGTAAATCCAAACTCTCTTATCTTTTAACCATTTTTTCTTTTCTTTTCTATTTCCTTTTGAGTGAATAAAAAAAAAAATGCCTTTACTGTTTTTCTTTTTCTTTCGTTCATCGTTTTTTTCCTTTCTTTCTTTTTCACTCATTTTCTTTTTTTTTTCTCTCTCTTTATTTAAGTATCCCCTCGACTAGAAAAAAATGCCCTAACTTCTCCTCTTCTCTCTCTCTCTCTCTTTCACTCTCCTTCTCTCTCCTTTTCTCTTCCTCCTTTTTTCCTTCTCCTTCTCTTTCTCCCTTTTCCTCTTTCTCTGTTTTTCCTTCTCCTCTCTCTTTCCTTCTCATTTTCTTTCTCTCAAATGGAATGTATACTTCTCCTTCTCTCTCCCTCTCCTTCATCTTCTCCTCTCTCTCTTTCTCCTTCTCTCTCTCCTCCTTTCCTCTTTCTCTCCTCTCTTTCTCCTTTCCTCTCTCTCTTTCATCTTCTTCTCTCTTTCTCTCCTTCTACTTCTCCTTTCCTCTCTCTCTCTCTCTCCTTCTCCTTCTCCTTTCCTCTCTCTCTCTCTCTCCTTCTCCTTTCCTCTCTCTCTCTTTCTCTATTCTACTTCGAAGTCGGAGAACTTAAAGTGCCAAAGATTGTCTGAAAAGTCGTCGTCTCGGGCGTTGATCTGGAAAGAAAAGAAATGAAAAAAAAATAGGCGATGTGACTAGGGTAGGGTGGGGGGTGGTGGTGGGGGGGTGGGGGGGAATTGACAACAGAAAACAGGGGGGAATTGACAACAGAAAACGGGGGAATTGACAACAGAAAACGGGGGAATTGACAACAGAAAACGGGGGGGAGGGGGAATTATTAAGGGAGAAGGGAAAAAATCTGGAAATATAAACAGAAAACGGGAAATTATTAAGGGAGAATGGGAAATGTGGGACAACAGAAAACGGGAGGGAATTGACAACAGAAAACGGGGGGGAAATCATCAAGGAAGAATGGGAAATGTGGGACAACAGAAAACGGAAAATGAAGGACAACAGAAAACGGAAAATGAAGGGGGGGAATTATTAAGGGAAAACGGAAAAAATCTGGAAATATAAACAGAAAACGGGAAATTATTAAGGGAGAATAGGAAATGTGGGACAACAAAAAACGGGAGGGAATTGACAACAGAAAACGGGGGGAAATTATTAAGGGAGAATGGGAAATATGGGGCAACAGAAAATGGGAAATGGACAGAAAATGGTGGGGGGGATTATTAAGGGGAAAACGGGAAATATAAGACAACAGAAAACGGAAAATTATCAAGGGAGAATGGGAAATGTGGGGCAACAGAAAACGGGGAATTATGGGGAAAATGGGAAATCGGGAACTGAAGGACTACAGAAAACGGGAAATTAAGGGGAAATATGAAGAAAATAGTATAAAATCAAATAAAATTCAGTATAATCAGTATAAAATTCAGTATAAATTCAAAGATAAAAAAGAAAGCGAGGAAAGGAAACAGAAAAAGAAAGAAAGAAAAAGAGAGAGAGAGAGAGAGAGAGAGAGAGAGAGAGAGAGAGAGAGAGAGAGAGAGAGAGAGAGAGAAATTTATCTCCTCTCACTCTGTTTCCCTTATCTTCCTCTCTCTTTTTCTTTTTCTCTTTCTCTCACTTTCTTTCTTTCTTTCTCTCTCTTTCTGTCTTTCTTTCTCTCTCTCTCTCTCTCTCTCTCTATTTCTCCCTCCCTCAGTCTCTCTCTCTCTCTCTCTTTCTCTCTGTCTCTCTTTCTCTCTCTGTCCGTCTCTCTCTGTTTTTTTTTTCTCTCTCTCCGTTTCTCTCTCTCTCTCTCTCTCTCTCTTTTACTCTTTCTCTTCCCTCCCTTTCTTTTTTTCCTCCTTCCATCTCTCTCTCTCTCTCTCTCTCTCTCTATACACACACATACACACACACACACACACACACACACACACACACACACACACACACACACACACACACACACACATTTATATATATACATACATAAATATACATATATTTAAGTATATATATATATATATATATATATATATATATATATATATATATATATACATATATATATAATGTAACAATAAAAAATATAATCACATGTGTATATATCCATAAAGAGTTATATGTGTATACATACAGATAATTACATATGGAAGCACGCACACATATACATTTATATCTATTATATACATAATATACATATACATATATATAATATAATAAATAATATAAGTATATATAATATATTTATATATATGTGTATATATATATTATATATATATAATATATAAATATAGTATATATGTAATATGCATATATAATATATATAAATAAATAATAATAAAAAAGAAAACTTGAAATAGAGTATAAAAAATAAAGAAAAAGTGAGAGAGAAAGATATTAAGAATTCTAATAAAAGGAAAAAAAATGAATAAAAAAAAGAAAAGAAAAAAAAAAAGGAAATTACTTAATGAAATGAAAATAAATAATAAAAA